GAACGTTAAATGTTTTATGCTTATTGCTTATGTATAAAATTAATAATGGTTCAACGTTTTATGGTGATAGTATGCGTATGATATTTCCATAAAAAATATTCGCAATGAAAAACCAAAATTACTTAAGTTTATTTATATAGTAAATAAAACTTTTAAAACATCATGAATGGATTGAAATGAGTACCTTACTTTAATGAAAATAGCMTAATTCTTTGAATAATATAGTTACAGCTGGAGAAAATCTCATTCAACACGTGYGAAAAATTACAAAGTTCCAAATAAGACGTTCCCRTTCACTGTATACACCTCGAACGGAAGAAAACTATTATACCTAGATAACCTTCGGTAAACATAATATAGGTTATAACTAAGAATTAATTTTTGTTAGCTGATTACCTCTCTGCCAGAATATGGCGTGATTGAAGTAGTGTCCGATCGATCGGGCGTCCATAACGGCGATTAGCAACAGGTAGAGACCCATGCAAAAGTCGGCCATGGCCAAGTTGCACATGAGGAACTTGGGCACAGTCAACCGGAACCTACTGCTGAGCAACACAAACAGAACGGCCATGTTGCCCAGCAGGGCGGCCACGGCCACGATCCACACGGCCACGCGCAGAGTCCAGTTTCCCATCAGATCCTCGCACGGGTTGAACGCATCCGGCGGCGGGTAGCACTTGACTTCCAGATAGTTTTTCGACACGTTACCGCAAACCACGTCAACTTTAGTGCCGACTGTCACGTCTGTAGAAGATGGTGTAATCATTCGGAATTAGGAGGAATATTTCGTATGCAGAACGTGTCCTAGGTGGAGGCCAGTCCCTGCCCTGCCCTGAGCCTCGCTCAATTTCATGACTTTTTGGATTTCACGTTATGAAAAATTATATTCTGATTCCTTGACTAAAAAATAACTGTCCCAGACATAGTGATCGATAGATTCACCGGTTATGTTATGGTGGACGGTAATAAATGTGCGGTAATTATATAAGGGTGAGATCAGTGGCATAATTATTTGAGAATTTGAGATACGATGTTGTGGCTGAAGGAATAAATTCGCATCGTGTGGTGTGATTTTGGTAAATAGTAATTAGTATAAACCTAAGTTATTTCACATTCCGCCAACAATTGAAATGAGGCCACTGTATATTAATTGTTAGTGTAGAAGTATTAATTGATTAACTAAATTCTTACTTTTTAACGATCAATTTTTTATTTTATTTAATGAATCAAATGTTTTAATCCTGTCTCCCCGCAACTCAACATTATAATCTTAAATGGTGGAGCTGTTA